GGCCCCGGCCCCGCCATCAACAGAACAGTTAACATAAAATGACAAAATAATACAACACAACACATATGACACAGACAGTCATGCAATCTTAGCCACTTTTCCTGCATAGGCTTTGTTGTTCGAAGCAGTTCTAGAAGAAAGAGGAGAGAATCAAAGTGTCCTTTCACCAGTGGATCAGAGACATCATGCTGAAAATGTGCACACGTCTGCTCCAAGCTAAGTTTGAAACCATACAAGAAGCTCTAGCGTCCATTGACATAAAAAAGATATTGGCTCACATCTCTTGTCCCATCTAAATCCGCTTCAATTCCAAGCGGCGACTCCCAGTTCCACATACGCATCTGCGCTGGTTAAAGAATATTTTCAGTACTGTGTTTTTTTTGTTTGTTTGTTTGTTTGTTTAAACATCTGACAAAGGCAACACTCCTATTGATTAATCATTCCAGTTGCAAAAGTTCTGTTTTGTCGCCCTCCAAGCTTCGAAGTCTTAACTGACACCCCGGTGAGGATTTTTATTTGAGTCACTCCAGATTTTCACAGTAAAAAATGGATTAAAACTCATCTCGATGTGATTTATCAAGTGCAGATTCTCACACACACACACACACACACACACACACACACACACACACACACACACACACAACCGATTTGAATAACTGGGATAAATGTAATAATGGACAAAGTACTCTTTGCTCCTTTTAAAGTAACTTCAAACCCCCACAACAACTGAGCCCGCATTCACGTTTGGTTTCCAGCACATATTTGCGAAGGGAGCTTTGCATCAGCCAGGGGATTTCCACACTGAACAGCGCCTGTCGGTTCCAGTGGGTCAGGACACTGCGCTGCCACAGATGGCTCAACAGCGCGGAACATATGGACTCTCGAATCCTCCACTCGAGAGATGAAGTGTAATTTTGTTGTCGCACGACTTGCTCTGAGGGAGGGGGGGAGGGGGGAGAAATAAACTGACAGTTATTACCAACACCAAGCTCGAGGGCTTCGGCACTTTGGTTTATTTCATTTAGCAATTTAATATCAAGCTGTCAAAGGTGATCCCGTTAAATCATTTGTTGTTGACCTTTATCGTCCCCCGGCGACGACTGCGCCTGATCCTGCCATGGTCACCAGGATGACTCAATCTTACTTGTTTCTGCAGCTCAAGAGCATCCTCCAACACATCAACCTCCAGATCAGCCATGACACCCAACAGTAAGTGTCCCCCCACCCCGACCCCCACACTTTGTTCTACTTTGATCTTTATCACATAGAGTGAAATTGGCGTCTTTGCATAGGTTACCAGATTTAATCATTAAAAACCAACTCCACAACCCCTCTGAATTTCTTTCGTCTCCTCTTTCAGCGAGCAACTGACACAGGCGAGATATCCTGTGCTTTACTATATATACATAATGTGCAATTGCGAGCCATCTCCCAGGAGCGTTCATTAGCACGTCTAATAAGATGAGTTGAAGTTGCAGATAGGGCCGCATGCACAAGTGTGACACGTGTTAATGAACACGCCGGCCTTTGTTTGTTTCTTCTCAGGATGCCAGACACGGTGAAGCAGAAGAACGCGTTCCCGCCAAACTTCATCCACTCGCTGGACTCCACACACATGATGTTGACTGCGCTTCACTGCCACAGGTAGGTAACTAACAAAAAAAAAAAAAAAAACTTTTTTTCATTCATGACATTTTTATCAAAAAGGAAATTTTTTGGGGGGGTTTCCACATTAGACTTCGTTACATTAAAGTGAACCAGTTGTTGCTGTTCCACTTATGTCCTGTAGGTGTCTATAGCGCAATTTTAAACTGTTGCTGACTGTCAAAACCAATCCAGGAGGCATAGCAGCTGTCTGTGGATGCTCATGCTCAAAGGATGCTAATGCTAAAAGCACTAAAACCAAGCGATCCGTGTCCCTGCATCTATGCCGATGCCACTCAATGCATCCTGTGCAGTCGGTTAAAATGTGTCTACTTAGTTTCTTGGCTTAGTTTTTGTTTTTTTCGTCTTTTGTTTTTTTAACACCAAAATAAGCTTCCGCGTTAGGCACAAGACCGTTCACTGCTTTTTTGTGAGTTTTTGGATGGAATTGGAAAGAAAAAAACTAAAAGGACAATTCTTTGTGTGCTCCAGCGATTCTCACAGCTACAACAGTTGCTTTGCAAACACACGCCACGATTGGTTCTTGCGTACTCACAACGCGACCTCATTCGTGTTAAAGAATAGTGTTGCTTACAAACCAGTCCTTTGAATTGCCTGAATTTATTTATTTTTTTAACCTCGGCTATGCTTTTTCTCCTTTCAATCTGGCCTCCCCCCCAACAAGCTTCGGGTTGACGTTCGTCTCAGTTCACGACTGTTTCTGGACACACGCCCTCACAGTGGACACCATGAACAAGGTACTCACTTTGACTTTCGGACACTTTGCTCTGCATTTTGCTCTCCCCAAAGCCTGAATTCTCCCACCGTTCCTTCCTTGCCCACGCTAACCTTCTATGTGATCCGATACCGGATGGGTGTGGAATTCTCCTCTCGATGCTGGAGGTGTCGTATGTTCGTCAGTTTCTCCCATCTTTCCGTTCAGCCTTTTGTTCTCAAACTGATCCGAAGGATCGTGTGTTTTTAAAATCCCGGACAAGCTGTTCCTGCCCTTTTCTCGTCGATGCCTGTTAAAAATAACACTGAAGCAAATGGGATCGCATTTTCTCTCAGTCGTAGCTTCAGAGCGGCGAAACTGTTAACGGCCTCATCCCATCTTGACCAAGTCAAGCAAGCGGCCCTCCCTTCAGTACAATTATCCCCTCGCATAATTCCCTGTCTCTTGATATGCCGGGGTCCCCCCACCTCATTACACAGGTAATTAAACTCAGCGCCGGCGGAAGAAGTCTTTAACGCATTAGTCGACACTCGAGCACGTGAAGCAGAAGACGGGAGCTTTTCTGAACAAAGCAAGATCACTCATCCGCAACAAATATGTCAAGTCATACGCTCGCTCACGCCCCAGAGTGTGAATTCTCTGTGCCTCGAAAGTCACCACCGTTGGAGTTGCACCAAATGCTTCAGTAAAAGCGGTTTTAGGTTGATGAACGTGGAGATTAGTTCCCCTGAGATGGTTTCAGTTTGGGCCGAAATTCTTTGTTGTAGCAGCTAGTCTGGGCGGCTGGTCAGTTTTGGCGGTTGAGATGCTGGAAGTCCTGGGCTTGGGCTGATGACTCGTCCATGTGGTCCGCGCTAGAATGTACTCTGAAACGCCTTTGGAGACAGTTTCTCGACGAGAAAATGAACATCCAGCATCCCCGGTGGGCAGTCCTGCAGTCAGCGTGCCAAATGCGCGCGCGCTCTCTCCAAACTTGGCTCCTCTTTGGCCTTCTGTTGTTGGCAGCCTAGGGCACACCCCAACTTTAGCGATAGAACGTTTGTGAACAATATTTGGGAGTGAGTTGAGCGGAGTAATAGGCCTTTTGTGTACGTGGAAAAAGGCTTGCATCCTTGAATCCATACTATGAAAAACGGAATCAAAACAAGTGTCGTTTATATTTATCAGTGGACATACATCATGATTGTGTCACTCACCAACAGTGCATGGGTATCCATCTCTTCATCGCTACGTATAGACAAATGTAACCAAGGCTGAAGATGTGTACCGTATTTTCCACAGTATAAGGCGCACCTAAAAGCATTCAGTTATCCCAGTGCGCCCTATAATCCGATGCGCCTAATATATGGTGTCACCGTCTCTTTATATTCCCCATTGAGTTGTTTCCCTGCTCTCCTATGCCATCTAGTGGTGATTATTAGCAGCAACCAATTGTAAACTAAACGGGTTCTGCCCGACACTAATTGACATGCGCATTCGCCAACACATACTCAAAAAGAAAACTACTTTCTGAGCTCTGCGCAGCCATTTTGAAACAAAGATAACACAAAAATCATCATTAACTACTGACTAAACGAAGGAAGAAGGAGACAAGCAAGACTTATAAGCTTATTTTAGCCTCTCGTGGATGTGAGCCCGCGAGGTTTGGGTGCCTTTTTGTTGAATCGATTGTCTTCAGAACTTTTGTCTTTCATACAATTTTGTCATGCCATTTGTATTTATGTTTCATGTCCCGTGTTTGTGACCAGTTCTCATGGCTTTGTTGCAGCTTAGCCGTTGTGAAGGCTCGATATAAATAAAGCTGTATTGTATTGTATTATATTTAGCGTATCTCCATCTAGTGGACGCATAGCGCAACCGCAGCCACTATTGTAGCTTCTATTCTATGCGCCTTAAATGCAGTGCGCCCTATATATGAAAAGCGTTTTGAAAATAGTACTGGTATCACGTTGGTACTTTTTCTTGCTCTTTTTTTTTTGACAGTTAAGATTGCTAAAATAGTACGTTAAAACATTGTGTGTTCATGTGCACCCCTTCGGTAGGTCTGCCGGGAGCAGTTTGTTGCGCTGCACAGTCAGCCCATCCTCCAAGAACTGTCCGACTTCCTGCTCCACAAGTACTGCTCCAGGCTTACGTAAGTGCCACACCCCACTGGAAGCAGCGCGGTTAGATAAACATATCAATTGTTCCATATGTTTGGAATTGGAATATGGAATATGAGCTTGACAGATATTTTTTTTCCTTCCTTTCTGTGATACTCGATTTTTCTAACCTAAGGCTCTTCTCATCTCCTCTTTTTCTCTCTCTCTCTCTCTCTCTCTCTCTCTCTCTCTGAGATAATTGGATATCGTCTCCTTTACTTTGTAGCCTTTACCCTCTCTTGACAAAGTTCACCAAGGTGCTTTCTTACATTAGATTGGCCTGCCCTGGCTGAATACAGAAAGTGGGTCCCATTAAGATCCGAGTCGGGAACTCGCTGCGGAGACTTCAACGCGTTTGAATGCGGCTGAGCTATGAAATTTGTTTCCGCAGTTTTTCCCCACCAATCCCTAACTTCCTTTTGATGGTGTCCTTCCATTGGCAGGTCTGACAGGAAAAACAAAAAGTATCTGGAAGACCGCAGGCTCATGCTGCTACTGGCCAAAGTACCGCAGACAGGTCAGTTAGCACGCAGCTTGTTTCGAAAACGTCCGGCCCACCGCTTAGGGCGCCTTCTCCATCCAACATGCTGTGTTGTGTTTGTCCTAATTGGTTGGAAGAGCTTCCGCGTGGCCTGGAGCGCTGGAACGAACCGCTTCACTGGAACTCGCCGAACATCCATTTTCTGCTTCAGTCATGAGTGGCCTAAGCCTGGAATGGGTTTTGCTTGTTTAAATTCATCACTGATATATTTGGGGAGAAATATTTTTGAATTAGTCGAGAGGAAAAAAAAAAAGGGCAGGATGAGAGTGCTACCGTGGATCAGGCCCCGATGACATTTGAGACGAAGCATGTCGACAGTAAACTCTTCTCTGTAACAGACTGCCTCAGCTTCTTCGTGACTATTTAAAAATAAATAAAATTAACCCCGGCAACCTTATCTCATACCTTCCATCCATCCATTTTCCGATCCGCTTATCCTAACGAGGGTCGCGAGGGGTGCTGGAGCCTATCCCAGCAGTCTTCGGGCAGTAGGCGGGGGACACCCTGAACCGGTTGCCAGCCAATCGCAGGGCACACAGAGACGAACAACCATCCGCGCTCACACTCACACCTAGGGACACATTTTTTGAGTGTTCAATCAGCCTGCCATGCATGTTTTTGGAATGTGGGAGGAAACCCGAGTACCCGGAGAAAACCCACGCAGGCACACGGAGAACAGGCAAACTCCACACAGGAAGGCCGGAGCTGGGATTGAACCCATGACCTCTACACTGTGAGGTCGATGCGCTAACCACTCGCCCACCGGGCCGCCCATCTCATCCCATTTAATCAAATTCTAATGCGTGCCCTCAAGGCGAACCCGTAACAGTGCATCTCTCCGCGTTCTGAGCCTTTCACAATGAAATGCGAAATGAATTGTGATACTTTCGCCCCTGCCCCGTGAAAGTTGGCAGTGGCATCACTGAGTCTTGTCTTTGGGTGTTTTTTTCACCCCTCACCATGTTGTCATCATCAACTGCCATTGATACCGTTGGCCGACCTGATTTCTGTTGCACCGTACGGTCTTTCATTTCCACAATATTCCAAGTTGTATTGGCTGTACAGGATGATTGCGCAATCGCTCAACTTTCCCTCTTCGTTCAGCTTTTGGCTCTTATTCAACTTTTCCAACCATCCCGCAAATCATTTTTCACGATCTCTCTTTTGTAGGTACACACAGCAACGCAACAATTATTTGTTCCTTCTATCCTGTATTTGTTTTTCGATTTTTGTGATAGCCCATCTCAGCGGCAAAACATCCCGGAATGACTTCCCCACTCTTTATTTAAATCCATTCGTCCTTTGTTACGACATGGGGAGACGTAGCCGCGACACGAGACCAAACCCCTGGCTTCAAACATTCGATCGAAGCAATTTCCACATGAGCGACAAACTTGTATCGACTCTAAAATCGATGAATGGATGTATCCTGCCCGTCCCCGCTGCGTGCACGTCTTTGACTCCCCATCGAGTGATGGTTGCCACGGCGACGGCACACAGACACGTCCCCGTCAGTCAGGTGGACGGAGGTCCCTCTTACACAACCGTTTGCATCTCGTCCGTGTGCTCACTAACTGTCGTCTGCTGAGCACCAACAGCTGGCTGCTGTAAAGTCATTGCTGTTAATTGCGTCCGTCCACTTCAGAATCAGCTTACGTGACCCAGTCAGGTGTGTTTAATATCGCAATTCATTGGATCCTTTTAATCTTCACTAGAACGGCTACCGAACTTATTATGTTCCTGTTTTGGCCGCGCTTAATCCGAGAACGAGGTCGTCCCGGATACTCAATCGGACCAAATGTCATCTGGGATATGAACGCATTTGAATGGGTTTGGATTTTTAAAACGCCTAACGAATGCTCGCTCTTTTATTTTTTAAAATGATTTTGACATTTTAAAGGGATTTTTTTTAATTCTTTTTTATAACTAAGTTGTGAGTAAAAAAATGATATTGTTATAGCAATATATGACCTTTAGAAGAGTCCGATTAAATCAGGCGGCTGATTCATCGGTCGGGCGCTTGTGATCATATATTATTAAGATTTTCATAGTCAAGACAACCATCTGATGGAGCTCCCAATGAAAATGAGTTTGACAGCCCTCACATAATCAGTTCCCTAGTTTGTCCACCTGAGACAAATAAATGTGTTGCACGAATAAATGCGTCCCCTCTTGAGAAGCCCACTAAAAAAAGTCACTGGTCAACAGGATATTTGAATCAGAGATGGCTTTTTGAGTCCCTAAACATATTTTTGATGCTGATTGAACAAATGTCTTGATATTTTTTTCTCGTGTATCAGATTTTTGAGATTTTCATTTTTAAATTTGAGCTGTAAAAGTCTGCGTTCGGATTTCACTGTGCATTGTCATGTATAGCTGTTTCAGCACAAATAAAAAACAAAAAATCCACCTGTTGCTGAACCTAACCCTTATTTCATAAGTATTACTAAAGATACTGCTATATCATACAATTTATTATTATTATTATTATGAAAAACGGATGTGCTAAGGGCCGCTTCAGAATCTGCGCAAAAACATAATCTAGAAAAGTTTACCTGCATCTCTTAAAAAAATAAAAATAAAAAATGCTGACCAGTTTATGAACATATTTCCTATTCTACATATGAAATCAATTTGCCCCGTTCGTGTTGACACTGAAACTCCAGCCGTCTGTTTCTTCTTTCTCCAGGGGACTTCGATCTGAGCCAGGTGAAAGAATCCACGTACTTCTTCAGCTGAGCGCCACTGCTGAGTCTCCACTCGCATTGATCCGGACCGCCCCCACCGCCTCTCGGTCCACATTCGTTTTGGCGTCCTGGTGATGAGCTTGATTGTACGGGCTCTCGTGCGCCAGGAGGGGGCGGGACGCAGAGAAAGACTTCAATCTCGGAAAAGCAGCGCTTTCGTAACAAAACGCTTCTTGCATCAGAAGTACAGTTGCACTCGTGCTTCTCGAGTGCCAGTGATTGGCTGTGTGTATGTGCGTGCCTGGTGGGCGGGCAGGTGTGTGAGGACCCCTGCTAACTGTGACCTGCCATCATCATTATCACCCCCCCCCCACCACCAACACCTTCCCTTCACATTCCATCAATCAAGGAGTGCAAGCACATTTGATGCGACACACTCGGCTCTTCTAAAATCAAACAAAACATCCCCAAAACACAATGCAGAACATTTTTACCGCTCTGAGAAGAAAAAGTAATTTATGCTATCAAACTGAATAAAGTTAAATTGTCTCATTTTTAGGGTGGAAAGAAAACTGTATATTTTCAAGGAAAAAAAAAATCATGTGCTACGACAATAAAAATATTTGAGGAATGAGAATGCCCACATTGAATTTAAATAGTTTTTTTTTTCCTAATAACAATCTTAATCTTGTGACATCATGTTTTGGTTGACATTTTTTTGTTGAAAAAAAATGCTACCAGAAAAAATATTTTGAAGATCTAGGCATGAAACTTACGAGGGCGATAGACTGTTGGATCTTTCGAGACTAGGAAGCCGATCATGTTTACTGCTGCCTGGGGGAGAAAAAAAAAAGTCAAAAAAGTAGTCATGATGGTGCATTGAACAAGTGTAAATGTCTCCTACTTTTCAGGCTGGCCCAAAGTTTGACTTCAGCACTTTGCGAATAACAGGAAGAAGAAGAGCAAAAAGTGTTGCCTGCAGGTCTGTGCTCGTAGGTGGACTGTGGCGGTGAGCAGGTTACTCCCTCTTGTGGCACGGAGGACCCAAGAACAATCTTCCTTAAACTCTGAATAAAATAATGAAATGAGGCTTGTTGAAATGAGACTTCTTACTAGCTCGGTTCGCCTGATCACCACGCGAGGTCTTTTACCATTCGGCCATTCTGCTGCGAAAATTTTGAAATTTTTATATGTAGTCAAAGGCAGCCGACCACACGAGGTTTTGAAGGTTTAACAAAAAAGAACATAATTGGTGAGACGGTTGGCGTCTCTCGTGGGCGATGTGACGGCACTCCAACCTCACCCATAACCCATCGACCACGCCAGTATTTCCCACTGCCTGCCTTCAGAATGCCATCCTGAGATCAGGAGATAGTTTGCAAAGCCAACTTCGTTTTCGATTGAAGACAAGTTGCACAAAGAGATCGTGTAGTTTTGTCATTTTGCTTTCTTGGCCAGGGGTGTCAAACTAATTTCACATTGTGGGCCACAAACGGCCTCGGTAGATGTCAAGTGGGCCGGACCATTAAGAATTGTACCATACAATGCTATAAATAACCAAAATAACATGTCTTTCCTTTGTTTTGGTCTAAAGATGCACAAGAACACGAGGAAAATGTTGAAATTTAATGAACATATCTTTTCCAAAACATTTCATGAAGCACCTAAGATTTCCTGAGAAAAATGTGCAATGTACTTTTATCATTCACATATATGCATTGCAACTGATCCCACTGACTGTACAAAGGCGCAAAACCTTAACAAGTAATTGGTCTTGAAAAATAAAGTAATGCACTGTTAAGATTAAACGAGATTTATGAAGAAAGGAATTTTTAAACCATTTACACGAGCATATAAAATATAAATGGAATCCCTGCCTACACCTGACAAACTAAGGAAAGTGCTATAATATGTGAAAAGAATAAAGTCTTCACATGTCCTTGATAGCGTCTGCTGTGTTGGGTCTGTCTTGGCTGCTGTTGTCTTCTCTGATCAAAACAATGTTGTCTTTTCCTCTGAGCAAAACAGCGGATATTCCACGAATTGCACCTTATTAAAAATATTCATTCCGTGTCTTTTGTGCATTTTTTCTCTTTTAAATTATCCCGCGGGCATGATCAAACCTCCTTGCGGGCCGGTTCCGGCCGTATGTTATACACCCCTGATGTACAGTAAGGCGTTTTTAGCCGAAAAAAAACGACCATGTATAGTACGGCGTTTTTCGATGAAAAAACCGACCATGCATAGTAAGGTGTTTTTAGCCCAAAAAACCGACCATGTATAGTAAGGCGTTTTTCGACGAAAAAAACGACCATGTATCGTAAGGCGTTTTTAGCCGAAAAAAGCGACCATGTATAGTAAGGCATTTTTAGCCGAAAAAAACGACCATGTATAGTCAGGCGTTTTTCGACGAAAAAAACAACCATGTATAGGAAGGCGTTTTTAGCCGAAAAAAAACGACCATGTATAGTACGGCGTTTTTCGATGAAAAAACCGACCATGCATAGTAAGGTGTTTTTAGCCCAAAAAACCGACCATGTATAGTAAGGCGTTTTTCGACGAAAAAAACGACCATGTATCGTAAGGCGTTTTTAGCCGAAAAAAGCGACCATGTATAGTAAGGCATTTTTAGCCGAAAAAAACGACCATGTATAGTCAGGCGTTTTTCGACGAAAAAAACAACCATGTATAGGAAGGCGTTTTTAGCCGAAAAAAAACGACCATGTATAGTACGGCGTTTTTCGATGAAAAAACCGACCATGCATAGTAAGGTGTTTTTAGCCCAAAAAACCGACCATGTATAGTAAGGCGTTTTTCGACGAAAAAAACGACCATGTATCGTAAGGCGTTTTTAGCCGAAAAAAGCGACCATGTATAGTAAGGCATTTTTAGCCGAAAAAAACGACCATGTATAGTCAGGCGTTTTTCGACGAAAAAAACAACCATGTATAGGAAGGCGTTTTTAGCCGAAAAAAAACGACCATGTATAGTACGGCGTTTTTCGATGAAAAAACCGACCATGCATAGTAAGGTGTTTTTAGCCCAAAAAACCGACCATGTATAGTAAGGCGTTTTTCGACGAAAAAAACGACCATGTATCGTAAGGCGTTTTTAGCCGAAAAAAGCGACCATGTATAGTAAGGCATTTTTAGCCGAAAAAAACGACCATGTATAGTCAGGCGTTTTTCGACGAAAAAAACAACCATGTATAGGAAGGCGTTTTTAGCCGAAAAAAAACGACCATGTATAGTACGGCGTTTTTCGATGAAAAAACCGACCATGCATAGTAAGGTGTTTTTAGCCCAAAAAACCGACCATGTATAGTAAGGCGTTTTTCGATGAAAAAACCGACCATGCATAGTAAGGTGTTTTTAGCCCAAAAAACCGACCATGTATAGTAAGGCGTTTTTAG